GACATGTGGAATAAGGGCTATTATAGTAAGAAAAGCCAAGAGGAAGCCATTAGAACTGCCTCTACCTAGAAAAATAGTAAACCAAAAGCAATACTGCATCACTGGAGGGACTGCAGAGATTACTGCTGAATCAAGGATTTGAAGAATGCAGGGGTGGTGATTGCTACCACATCCCCATTCAATTCACCTATTTGGCCTGTGCAAAAAACAGATGGATCTTGGAGAATGACAATGGATTATTTAAATTTAATCAGGTGGTGACTTCAATTGTAGCTGCTGTTCCTGATTTGGTTTCATTGCTTGATCAAATTAGTACATCTCCTGGTACTTGGTATGCAGCTATCAATCTGGCCTAACACAATCATCATCAAAATATGTTGCAAAAGATGCTGTCCAACACCCTACTGAGTCAGTGTGTCCCTGCATACTGTGTCCACGACATCCCTCTAGTCTCCCAAACAAGGGGGGGGAGGGAAGCAGGGCACTTTGAACAGCAGTTTGGGTCAGCCCTGAAGACTTCCTGGTGACTTCACTCTCTTAAGTATTGAAGCCCATGATATAATAATCCATTCTGAAAGGGTATCCCTCTCTCTCTTCCATCTTCCACTAGTCTCCTGGTCTGTTTTCTGTATTTCTCAAAGATTTCTAACTGGGTCTCAGGTTTCATACTCAAGTCACTTAGCTTCTTGGGAGAAAAGTAAAAGCTCGCTACCATCAAGTCAGATCCAACTCATAGTGACCCCACCTTGGGTTTCCAAGGTGGTATCACTACGAAAGTAGATCGCCCAACCCTCCTTCCAAGGAGCGGCTGGTGGGTTTGAACCTCTAACTTCTGGTTAGCAGTCAAATGCCTTAGGTACTACGCCTCCAAAGCTCACTTAAATCCACTGAAGGTTCAGGCCTATCCTATCTCTTTGCCTGACTCCAAATCCTGGGCTTCAGAGGTGACAGAAGCAGAGCAAAATCTAAATAGTCCTGCTTTTCTCAATCATCACAACATGTACAAACCTCCAAAGAGCAGTACTCTCTGTTCTGTCCTTTTTGCCCTGAACAAAGCCTCTTTTCCCACTGTCATTAGAATTTTTTTCCCAAATCTCAGCCCATTCCAATTCTTACACTCTCTGCCAATCTTTTGCTTTTGTTCTTCATTTTGGAACCAATCTCACAATTTTTGTGCAATTCATTCTCTAAATCTGCCCTCATGAGTGCAGTCTATCAGCCACAGTGGTTTCACTGAGTTTCTTCTCCCTGACTTCCTCATCAGCTCACCTATGACTACACAGGCAGAATCTACTTTGTAAAGCCTCTTGGGCCATGTTTCCTTTGAACTTCTGCTCAAGGGTACTGTTCTGGTTAGCTACTCCCACTCTTGCAGGAATATACCACAAACAGGATGGCCTGTACAAATGAGTTTATTCTCTTACAGTTTGGGAGGTCAGAAGTCCAACTTCAAAGTGCCAGGCTCTGGGGGCGAGGTAAAAGCCTCTCGACCTTGAGCTTCAATTCTGCCTCTTGCTCCCAGCCCACTGAAGCTAGAGGGATCTCTTCACTCAGGCAGCTACTTGCTGATGAGGCTAACAAACCCAAGGTCCACAAATAAAATGGCAAAGTCCCGATGTTACCAAACCATATGGCAGGCCATTAATTCAAATCCACTGAAAGTCCCAAGGTCAGCAGAGCATGGCAGGCTGCTGAACAATGACACAGCTAGATACAGAGTTCAAGCATGCCATCAGCTAGAGACCATTCCCAAAGCTGTTTCTTAATATATGGGAAGTAGATCACATCCCTAAAGCAGCTACTCAGCTGCTTGTGGTAGGGCCCACCATGGAGCTGACTGCCAGTCTCATCATGGGGACTAACTACCACCAGCTGCCCAGCCACTCAACCAGGCCCAGCCAAGTTGACACACAAACGTAACCACCACAGGTACTTACCTCTTTCCTTTGAATTTTTCACCTCTCTTTCAACACATAAATTGGCATTTACATTTTTGATATCAAAATTTTTCAGTCACTCAATCTTCATCTATCCCTCTCAAACTCAAAAACTCAATTTTGTTTACTCTCCTCTTCTTCTATCAGCAGGAGAAGGGTCCTTCTTTTCCAACCTGTGCTTTAGATCCCCACCTGATACAATGCCCTCCTTCTCTGACTTAGATAAGTAGATTACCCCTAAAGGGTCAGGTCACCTTCTATGTGTGGCAGACTGACATCCTTTGATATGTTGAGTGGGATTAACAGGAGAGAAGTCCTCTCCCAATACATCATAGGAGTCCTTGAGATTGCTGAACCAGGCCCCTTCTCAGAGGATACCATATATAACCTCAGGTCTACTTTAGGCAGTGCTATGTGTGAGGATCCACTGGCACACCAGGAACTACAGAGCTAGAACTCTTAGAACTGCTCACAGTCCCCACACCTTCTTCTAATCTCAATCTCACACTAGTTAATTGTGTTTTACAGCATCTTTTTCTTAATTCTAAATTCAACATAAAGTTGACCTGTGTGTGTGTGTGTGCATGTGTGTGCATGTGTGTGTGTAGCTCTGGTGGCTTGGTGTCTAAGGCATCTGACTCCTAACCAGAAGGTTAGAGGTTCAACCCCACGAGCCACTCTGTGGAAGAAAGACTGGATAATCTACTTCTGTAAAGATTTACCACCTTGGAAACCCAATAGGGGTCACTATGACTTGGAATTGACTCAATGGCAT